GCAAACTTTTATTTTCTTATTAAAAACTTTGTTAACAAGGGTGCACGTTCACCTACAATACAACTTGATAACGATCCAACTTTTCACTTAAAGGCAACTTTGCAACAACAGTCAAGTTTTCATATTTCGCTAAATGAACTAGTAGTACCTAGTTAAGTGGCTCGAAACTAAATTTAATGACTTTTTTCAGTTTTAAAAAATTTATTTATTATCGTCATAAAAGAATGATTAAAAATCAGTTTAAATTTTACTAATTACTTAATATAATATATCTACGTATGGACGTTGGGGTTATTATTCGGTTAACTAAATAAATATTCTAATTACTTACTTGATAATAGAAGAGAGGGTTGGCCGGGGGTACGTTGGGATCAACAAGTTCCATGTTGTGTAGCCAGGGCAAAAGGTATTCGAGGAGAAGTTGTCTGACTTCAGGCCTTGCGGTTTGAAAACGGTGAGTGATTTCTAATGCCGACGGCGTAGATATTAAATTCGACTTTATTAATTAACTTAAGGGCAGGGCAAACAAAACTACCCGAAACAGCCCCTGACTAGGACTAAGCAAAGTGCCATTGCTAGCTTAATATAGATAGGCACTAAATTTTACACTGTAATACGTAAAGTAAATTTTGGCTTGGCTGCTAAGGCGTTTCCCTCATAATCCTTACACTTTATTATTATTAGAATCGTTAAAGGATTAACCGAGAACGCCAGGGTGAACTAAACACACAGAGGTCCTTGAAGAGGCACCTGTTCTAAAATTATTATTAGATACTATATTAATAAAGAATTCCTTAATTCCTAATTATGCATCGATTTCAAAAACTACTAATATTAATTAATTTATCTATTCTTTTGGTAAAATAAAATTAAGTAAAAGAACAAGAAGATGATTTTGTTGAGTCTTTTTTTGAGGTAAGTTCTATTTCTTTTGTAGGGTTTTAATAAGCTATAAGACATTTAAGTCCAACCTAAATGCAATTTGTAGTTATTGTTATCTTTACGTATTAATTTATCTTATGACATAACGATGGCACTGTAAAGATAATTTACAATCAATGGTGTTCTAATGATAAACGAGTTGTGTCATATTCCTCAAAAGACGACATTCATCTTTAAACTTTACGCATATGAAGGATTTTTTGATTAATTCTATCGTTGATATAAGGTGCATTTTAAATTGCATTACTTTGAATTCTATCGTTGATATAAATTGCATTACTCTGAAGTCTCAGAAATTTAAATCAGACAAATTAAAGGCAACGGCGACTTACCTGAAAACATGGGCATTGTTAATTCAGGATGTAAATGTGCCAGTTGTTCTGAAAGGTGCAACTGAGAACGACAAAATGTCGTTGCTAACAGTGCGTCCAGGGTGCCTCTTCCTTTATCGCCCTCGGCTGTAATAAAATTAAAATTTACAAAAAAAAATCTTGGTGCAAGGTTTTTTCAACTTTATTACAAAATATTGAAACAGTCTAGCCCTTCATGCCTGAAAAGGTGTCCCATCTCGCCTATTTCTTATTGACTTTCATAACGCCCTCTATTCTCTTATTATGTCTTTTCATTTCTAACCCTATTCTCCTCATTCACCCGTAACACCGCATTTCGAACACATCTAATATTTTCTTTTGCTTCTGCGCCCACCGTCCACGTTTCGCAACCGTACAAAGCCGTGCTCATACATACGCCTTCAACTACAATCTCTTTCGAATTTCTAAATTAATCGTTCGCAAGCACAGAAGTGACTTTTATTTATCAAAGGCGACACAGTCCTGCACTGTCCTCTATTTTATGAATTATCTAACTCCCTAGATACCTAAAATCAACATCTTCTTCTAATTTTTCCTCTCCTATCTTTATATTCATAACTCCTCATTGCTAGATCATCCACTTTGAGCAAACTAATCTTTCGTCCCTGTGTGTCTATCCCTAATGTTGTCCTATCTTTAGCGCTATTTAAAATTTGGAAGAAAAAAATGAGACCTTTGGATGTCTAATAATTGAGTTTCCAATTTTATTTATTTGCTTTTGATTAATTAATTTTAAAATTAGAATTTCCCAATCGTCCGGGCTGACAAGCTTTTATCAAATTTGTGAAAGATACGTAGCTTCCGGTGTTATATCTATCTATCGCTTAAATTCGAATTTTGATAAGGAAATTCATGCAACATGAAATGTATATTTTTCATACACACACAACGTTGAAAATAGGGAGGAGACGAAGTAGTGCGCACATGGTAGCATCTAATTTACTTTAGACAAGAAAACGGAATAAAGTTTCTATATATATGCAAGTCCCGTGGGATTAAAAAAATACAGTCATTTCGCACAAGAATGTTTATGTAGTAGGTAGGCCCGAGAAAAGTGTAATTTTATACAGGAAATTTTGCTTTCTGTTCCAGTTTTGTCTTCTTTTTTTCTTTTCCTCATTGGTTCTGTGACATTAGTAAGATAAGATATAAAGTGACAGTTGCCGGTACCGAAAAATAGGAAACATTTCAACCATTTTCTTCATTCAATTCTCCAATATCAGCTTTCACGGAAAAACTAAACTTGTTTTTCCCCATAAGTTTATTATTTACAAGTTACTGTTACATNTAAATTATCGAAAATATTACTGTTAACTACTTTAAAGTCTAAATTGAAACACATAGAATGTATTAATGTGGAAAGTGGAAAATTTACACACTATTTCCTCTACTAGAAAAATGAGGGAGTGTTTTGATTTTAGTAAGTATAAAAGTACAAGTGGAAGCTTCAACAAAAGCTTTGCGAATGGTGAAAAGCTGCACTGGGTAATATGCAGTAGCACAAGTGTAATGTTATGTACGCAAACATTATTATGTCCTTTTTATTGGAAGCCGTTACCTTGCAGTATATTAAGTTTATAATGTCATCCTATTTGGGGGTAGTACAAAAAGAAAATCATGTCATTCACCATTCACGTATTTTATAAAAAAAAAAATAAAATTATTTACAGTGACAGAGAAACATCACCAACAATGCGAAGACAAACGAATAAAATAATACTCACTTGTTAAATACTGTACATCCAATTATTCAAAAATTTCATGGTTATTTACAACAAAACTTTTTTGCATTAATATTACACAAAATACAACTAATTAATCTTTGAAAGTAAAAATATAAAAAAAATGCCAAAAGGGACTTACAGACGGGCTCTTGGGTAATCCCACCCTTTGTCCCGATGCAGTCAGTAGATTCACCAAACATTCTCGAACTCTTCCCTGCAATAAGAATCAAACAAGAATTTCTAAATTTGTTACAAAAGGCACAACATAATTTTACTTGGGACATCCAGGGACGTTTCCACCCTGAAAGTGGGGCTGTATCGGCAGGACTCAAAGAACAGGATCGTCTCGGAGAAGCAACCGGTTTCGCTTTGTCTACACCATCTTCAGTCTTGTTGTTTATCAGTCTTCTACCAATTACAGGTGTCTGAGATACATCAAAGGTGAAATCCATCGTACGCCCTTTGGCAACAAAAACCTCAGTTATTTTCTTATTTTGTTTAAACAAAACACTGCATACAATAAAGAAACTAATAAACAAAAGCTATCACAATAATGTAATTTTAGTGTTTTGTTTACTCCACAGTTAAAACAATTGCTACTCCACAACATAACATTTTAAAGCTATGTCACTTTTCTCACCTGGAAGTTCCTTTTTGACGAAGATGTCGCTATCAGTGAATGCTGGATGAGGTGCGGACACGAGCGAGCTTTCCCAATAGGTATGTTGGGAAGACGCAGGAGGCGTCACCAACGTGCTGGACCGTGTCACCACCAGTTTCAAGATCTTAAGGGCTTCTTTCCAGTGCATCCCTTCGATATACTTGGCGACCACGCGTAACAGATCGGCATTAATCGGTTGGGCGGAGGCAGAGTTCAGATCGACGTAATGCAGCATACAATGGACTATATTCAGAATGGGCAACTGCATGTTAGAAGGACCTTTTTCCAACATCTCGATTAGGAACGCGAGCATGTTCAGACTTAAATGGGAATAAGTGTCGTGGAGGTATTTCACAACGCACTTGGTCCACTGGAAGCTTTCTTTGCTGAATGTTCGACGACTGTAGAGATTCATGACGGTCGCTAAGTTTTCCAGTTTCTTGCTCTTTTCCACACTTATCTACATAAAATATAAAGATTTGACATGAAAATATAACACTCCCCCCCAATCCCCAAAGGACGGATCCTTACCCATGCCCTTAAAAATATTATTTTTATAATCATATACCTGTGCAATATTTTCGGCGCTTCGAATACACAACTCGTTGGCATCTTCGTAATTCAAGAGCATGTAAGGTAACAATGCGATCACGTTCATTGGAAAAGCGATGCTTTGTGAAGGGTCGACCACCACGAGATCGAGTAGAGGGGTGAATTGCGATAATAGCGAAACAACAGGCTCGTATATGTTAGGATGGGTACAACCCTAAAACGAGCAAGTGGTTATTAATCTCCTCTTTGAATTATTAATATCTTTATGAATACCTTCAGTAAAAGGGCATGAACCCCCGGAAAGGAACTCCACCTTAGTTGCACTTGGAGCTTTTCCACTTTGTCCCTCGCATCCGGTCTATCCAATGGGAGGCGGTGAAGGACTCTCGCCAACAACCTCAAGGCTAACAAAAATTCGTGTTCGTAGTCTGATTCCAGAAGGGAGACCGAAAGCCAGAACAACTGCGCAAGGATTGTCATTTTGTCATCCTGAGAAGCCGAATCTCCAAGGAGTTTTAAACTCTGGGCTGATCGACTTCGTGACAGATTGGAGGAAGAGAATTTATTTTTCTCCACCTCCGATCCGCACCGTGCACGCATCTCTTTGCCATCGCTGGCTGGGGAACCAGAAGCTTTCCGGAAACCGTACGAAACAGAATAGCTGGTACTTCGAATGTGACCCTGGTTCAGGAAAGAGAACGGAGGCACGGCTTCACCCTGTACCATATTACCATATATCGACCTTTTACCCAACTCTTTGTTATTTAAATTAGGAGTCGACTTGAAAAAGTCCTTCATAAGATCAAGAGGTCGAAAGTCGGACTCCAACGAGTCAACAGCCGCTTCCAAAGTTAGCAAGAGTTCCGTGACGTAACCTATGTCACAATACTATTTAGTTGTTGTGAACGAAATGTTATCGCAATCTTACCCTGCATGTCTTCGCCCTGTTCTGCAACAGTTTCCACCAATCGACTTAAAATATCACTTAACATCCTGGAACTGATGGGAACCCTTAAAGCTCTGTATATTTGCAACGAACGTCCTGCGTAATGCCTCGAAGAGCAGCTGAGTCCCAGTTGAAGGGCAGTTTGCGCCCATCGTTCGTTCACGTGCGCACTGGGCAGCGACTCCCTGAACACCCTGAGCACGTGCTGCAGAAAAACATCCATTTGTTCGGCACTACGAATTGACCACACTTTAGCTGTAATGTCTTCGTAATTCCACAAGGGTTGATTTTGGCGCGTCGCCACAAAATCTATAAGGGACTTGATCACGTTTTGGATTGTCAGGCAAGACCCCGAATCTTGACCCGAGTACGACGGAGATTGATTTTCAGACGTTATTATAACGGGAACTTGCGACGGTGCGTTATTTTCTTTGCTTTCTGAAGAAACAATGGTGTTTGAAGACGTTACCTCCTTAGGAGCGTTCGAAGAATCAACAAGGGTGCTTGCAGACGGAGGACCGTTGATGTAAGAATCGAAACTGGGTTCTGGATCTAGAAACACCACGTCCAGATTTAAACGCTTATCTCAAACCACCAGATCTGTGGTTCACACTACCTGTAAACACATGCTGGACGATGGGCAACGATGGCATGGGCAGACCAAGACCCAGCTGGTTAGTTTTGCTATTGAGAAGTATATGTGCAACGGTCAAATGATCGTTGTGCTCGGCTAGGACAACCAGCAGGTTTAACAGGAGCTGTTTGCAGTGCTGATAAACGATGGGTTTGGTGTGATCCAGTCCAAGGAATAGAATGTGTAGCATCAGTGGAACATGAATGGTCCAATCTAGTTCCAGACCATCGATCACCACATCGCACAAAAGCATAACGGCAACGTTACATCTAAAATGTACTACCCTTGCAGCATCCATAAAATTAATTAAAAAAAATAACCCTGTATAGAAAAGCTACCTATGAAATCCAGATATGGGTTGCGAACTGTCTGGAAGGTATTCGGTCAGGGGTGCGAAATAACCCCCATATTCCGGCATGGGGAGGGGATGCGGCTGGGGAATTGGAATGTCAAATTTTTCCGCCTGCATATTTCGTCTATCGACCGCGAACATATCTTCGGGGGGTTGTAACTAAAACGAAAACAAGTGAATAAAACGAGGGCCAGCTAAACGAAAATGCGTACGTCAGGATTAGCCGTGGGGGATGACGGTTCGTCATAAGGATTGGGGACGGCAAGATTTCTTTGTTTATCGCTTCGTGGAGATTGAAATTCACCCAAAACTTTTATTGCCGATTCCGATTTTGAAATGTTCGTTTTTAGGGGATCTTCGCCACTGTGACGTTTCGTATGGATAGTTCCCTTTTCAATGCCTGAAATTTTTGTAAGCACGTCAAAAACTCATTTTCAAAGTACAAATTTATTTTCACCTTCACTACGACTGTTTGAATCTGTTTGACCAGCAACTCCACCCCCGTCCGAATGGCTCGAAGCCTTCCTCATGACGGTCAGACGATAAAAAGGGGGCGTTTCTGTCCGTTCAATCAAACAATTTAACGTTTCAACAGTTTGAAGTTCAAACATCATTTCGTCCAAAAGACGAGCCGGTTGCACCCGGGCCAAATACAGCACCACCCTTTTTGCCTTGAAAACAAATTGATTTTCATATCGGCGTCGATAGTTAGCGGGTCACTTACAAATGGCAGTAATTCGCAAGGGGCCATTCCTGATACAATGATGAGATAACGGATGATAACTTTCATGTTGTTCGGCCATGAGGTGCAGAGGGTGGCCCAAATCGCCTCCATCTCTTTCGGATGGTTATCACCGAACTAATTAGTAACAGCAACGAAATTAAGATTGATATTGGACTAACGCAGATGTACTTTTGGCGGTGCAAACAAATGAAATAAGAAAAAATCGATTGTCTGCAAAGTCGGTTTACTGATGATAGTTGAACGTGACAACGTCATAAGAAAATACTGATGGAATGGTTTCATTTTTCAAAAGAAAATTTTAATTTTATTTGTTTGATAGATATTTTGTATGGATATAGAGAAGGAGGTAAATGGAAATGTATTATTGTATAGCAGCTGTCCACGCGGACGCATCGCTCACTCGAGTAGGAGAGAGACAGATGTCGAACGCTGCCGAACGCGGAGGCCGATTGTGCCTCTTTGTCGCTCGTTCCGCGCTCTTGCTTGCACTTCAAGCCTTAAATGGAACGCCTCAGAGCGAGGTAACGCCGCATGAGTCATGTTTTTTCGTGCGTGCAGCCGGCTCCATCGAATTATAAGACGTTGTCACGTCAAAAAAACAAAAAAGAAAAATGGTCACAATGTATCGGCTGCTATTGTAGCTACTCATAAAATGAAATTTTATTGAGCAGTCGCAATAAATTTTCCTGTTATTATGAACAATTATCAAACGCTATTCTGCAAATGTTAATTATAGCAGTTCGCTGGGAAACAAAAGGCCTAATTAACCAACTAATTTACTAATTAAATGATATTTTCTCCTTTTCAACGAAGATGTCCATTCCAGAAAGAGCAAAAGTTCGAATAAAGCGGTAATAACTTTTTATAACGGTACCGTAAAAAGAGCCCTTTTATCAATATAAACGTTTTGTTTTATTTAAGAAGCATAATGATAGAAAACGACATGGAATTAATTAGTAACTTTTAGCAGAATAAACTGTAATACCTATAGGGTAACGTAGTACTAAAGTTAAACGTTTAAACCCCCGAAAATTAAATACAATTACTTACCTTTGCGGTTATATAAAAAATATTGTTGAGTACCATTTCGGTAGCCTCGGCTGAGCCCCATCCCTCCTTTCTTCCTTCAGGACGTCCCAAATCATTTGCATAAAACTAAAGGAATTTGTACATGTACATATATATAGAAAGGGTGATGGTACCTTAATTTTTAGTGTTTCGTACGTTCCAATGCGTACACATGTGACCCAAACAAGGACGCAAACGTAAATAAATTAATTTTGAACACGCTGATCATTTAGGAAATAAAAAAAAAAAGCTTTGCAAATTGTACCGTGTGACATAAAATGAAACGGCTTGTTGTAAGGGTCTCAAACATATTTTTTATAATTCTAAAATAAATAGTTTTAAAGCTATTTAAGGAAATAGATGAAAATTTTGAAAAAATATACAGAAAATAGTTCTTTATTTATAGATTACATTAAAACTAATACGAAGCCTAAGGTCTGAACAGAACGTAGTAAATCTTTCAACAAAACAATACTGTAAGTATAAATTTACATTTGCAGTTTGAATGTATGGGAGAACATGTGTTTTGTTCTTGGGTTAGGGTTCCGTACGTACGAATGAAAAACCCTATAGGTCCACTCGTACGTCTGTCTGCCCGTTTTTTATTTAAATAATAGACCCAATAAAAAATTTACTACTATCTGTTATTTATGATGCTCAAAGAAGTTTTTACAGTTACGTTGTGAAACGGATAGAAGTTTCGAGCAGAAAAGTGATTAAAATTCAATCACTTCTGAAACTACCTATCCTCTATCGATGTGACACTTGCATAAAGGCAAACTTTTATTTTCTTATTAAAAACTTTGTTAACAAGGGTGCACGTTCACCTACAATACAACTTGATAACGATCCAACTTTTCACTTAAAGGCAACTTTGCAACAACAGTCAAGTTTTCATATTTCGCTAAATGAACTAGTAGTACCTAGTTAAGTGGCTCGAAACTAAATTTAATGACTTTTTTCAGTTTTAAAAAATTTATTTATTATCGTCATAAAAGAATGATTAAAAATCAGTTTAAATTTTACTAATTACTTAATATAATATATCTACGTATGGACGTTGGGATTATTATTCGGTTAACTAAATAAATATTCTAATTACTTACTTGATAATAGAAGAGAGGGTTGGCCGGGGGTACGTTGGGATCAACAAGTTCCATGTTGTGTAGCCAGGGCAAAAGGTATTCGAGGAGAAGTTGTCTGACTTCAGGCCTTGCGGTTTGAAAACGGTGAGTGATTTCTAATGCCGACGACGTAGATATTAAATTCGACTTTATTAATTAACTTAAGGGCAGGGCAAACAAAACTACCCGAAACAGCCCCTGACTAGGACTAAGCAAAGTGCCATTGCTAGCTTAATATAGATAGGCACTAAATTTTACACTGTAATACGTAAAGTAAATTTTGGCTTGGCTGCTAAGGCGTTTCCCTCATAATCCTTACACTTTATTATTATTAGAATCGTTAAAGGATTAACCGAGAACGCCAGGGTGAACTAAACACACAGAGGTCCTTGAAGAGGCACCTGTTCTAAAATTATTATTAGATACTATATTAATAAAGAATGCCTTAATTCCTAATTATGCATCGATTTCAAAAACTACTAATATTAATTAATTTATCTATTCTTTTGGTAAAATAAAATTAAGTAAAAGAACAAGAAGATGATTTTGTTGAGTCTTTTTTTGAGGTAAGTTCTATTTCTTTTGTAGGGTTTTAATAAGCTATAAGACATTTAAGTCCAACCTAAATGCAATTTGTAGTTATTGTTATCTTTACGTATTAATTTATCTTATGACATNTTATACGGCTTAAATGTAAAGTTGGGTGCAAAAGAATACAATTAAATCCTCTGTCGGGAAAAAACGAAATGACTTTCCGAACAACCCGATAGTTAACATATACCTACAATTTGCAAACAAACAAACATCATCTTAAATCATCAACACTGCGTTGTTGTTGTCAATAACTATCATCGACTGTTGAGTGCCCTAACGAAAAGTTTTCAAACTTTTCAGAACTTACTTCTAAATTTGATTCCTCCTACTTGATGTCGTGCTTCTATTGTTAGAATCGTTCTTACAATTAATCATTTATCGATTCACATGATGACATAATTGTCGCAATAACGGAAGTTCATACGAAAATTTATTACCGATTTACTGAAGCGACGCTTAAGGGTTTCAGAGCAAAATGGCTGCTGACGTGTACAAAGTGTAATCTAGGTGTTAGCTAATGGTGCAATTAACTTTCAAAAATTAATAGGAAGCTGTAGAGAACACTACTTAAAATAGTTTTATATTAATTTAGAGAACCAGTTGCTCCTGGCGACTTCGTCCTCGGGAAACCATTTCTGATTTTATTTATAATACGGAATTATTTTTATAAACAATAGATAATTTATAAAGTAACCTATATATAAGACTTACGGTAAAGTCATTTCAAAGAGTTTACCCAAAGACAAATCCTTATTCGTGTTGTTAAAACTAATTTTTATATCCCTCGGGAACAGTAGTCCTTTTCCAGATAAAAGGTACCCTATATCCTTTTCTATTTTTCTGATATCTGTACAAAATTTCATGATGATTGGTTGCGTAGTTAAAGCGTGAAATAATAGCAAACAAATATTTTTTAATATGATTGATGGTATCTACGCTTTCTTGATGGAAATTCATGATCACTTAATAAATAAACAAATTAATTTCCACAAATATATTAATAAAAACTTTATAATTGTTTCGCCTCCTTGAGGCTTCTTCAGAAGTATTACTTCAAGTACTACAACTAATACCTCTGAAGAAGCTCCGAGGGGGCGAAACAATTGTAAAGTTTTTATTAATATATTTGTGGAAATTAATTTGAGTTTATTTATTAAGAAATCACTATAGTGTGCTCTAGAACATATTTATTTAATTCCGCTGTTTGTTTACAACATGAGCCACGAGGGCTGTCAAAAATGAAGGAGAGCATTCCGTTGTTCTGGCGCAAATTTCAAAATATGAAGGGAATTTATCTAAATAAAAGAATCTGCCGTTCCATTAATTTATTATCAAGAAGAAGAAGAATTCATCGTCTCTATTTAAAAATAAAGGGAGTACCTATAGGTATTATGAGAGTGGCATTTTAAGGGCGGCCTTTATTTGTTTGTGGAATCGTGCGAAATGGAGTTATTGTTTTAATATCTTTATACAAAGAGACGATGAAGGCAACAGACACGTAGCAAGCGGTAAGCGCATTTGGGACTCTTCGAACAATAATTCATAAACAAGATTTCGCCTGCTTAGGAATTCTGCCGACTTTAGGTAATATTTCACGGAAACTTTTTGTTAAACTGGTTTGTCGGGAGCATTTTAAACAGAATCCCGAGCCCCGTTCTTCTGCTCCCGGTATTCGCACGAGATATAATGTTTGCTAAGCAACCGGATTTCCTATCTTCCGACCTACGTACCTTCCACGCTACACATGCTGCACCACATTCAAAAATTTACCGCTAAAAATCTCCTTTTAAATAAATAGGTATATTGTAAAATTTTTTCTCTCTTATTTAACAACTACTGCTCAAAAAAATTGATAAGAGAAAGTAGCTTAACTGTAACGCTGAACTAAACTACTGTAGGGACCCAAATTAACTACGTATTGGTACTTCACGAATCGAAAACAAACAGATAAGTATTTAGAAATTACTACAAATGGCGCAGTAAACGCCATCTGTAGCACGATGCTACATTTTAGGATTACGTATGCTCCAACAAGGTCCATTTAAATACATGGATATCTACTTGCTGAAACGAATACCCTCGAAGTGGTCTGTATTCTGTCGAAACTGCCAGACGCGGATCGCGATTTCGATCTTTTTGGATCTCATCAGCGCGTCGCAGGCAGCTCGATTAAGCTAACGTGCTTATCACGTTGAGGTTGGCTACGCCGGGATTCGTTTTCAGCAAGTAGATATCCACACAAGTGAACCTTGTTGGAGCATACGTAATCCTAAAATGTAGCATCGT